TCTCAGCACTTCCTCATTCACGTAAACCCATTTCCCATCGATTCTCAGATAGAAAGGACTATCGTCAATTTTACGTAACACCATAATAAATAATAGTTCGCTTACCCTGAAAATCAGGTATGAATGAATGGAAAAAGGGAACAATTTGTTCAAGAGCATAAAACAGATTTAAGAAAAAAGTTCATTTGAGTAGATAAAATGATGGATGCAGGCAGAATATATTCAGGTAATACTTCAGTGAAGAAAGAAATAGAAAATACAAATTGATATGCGGTAGATATTAAATTAATGCAGTAGATATCTCAGTGAATGCTTTGGTTTGGTTTTTTGAAATTGATAACGCGAAATGCTGCATTTGTTGGTAAAACCCTGTAGATTTTTTGCAGAGCAAATAGTCTAAGCAGATCCTCGACAATCAATATGCGCACTGGTGCTAGCCATCAGCGGGTGACTCTGTGGTGACCTTCGACTAGAAAACTGACTAGACCTTCCTTTTTGGCTGCCAACGCTGCCACTCGGCGAGCAGCGGCGCCCTCCCCCCTTATCCTTTGGTCTTTAGAAGAGGAATACCTTTGCTTGTCTGGCCAGATGGGCGGCTTGGTGGCAAATCGATTTCTTAGCATTCTCGATTTAGTTCTCAAAGTAACGAGATTTTTTTTGCAAAGAAGTTAATAATTGCTTAAAAACTTTCAAGTATAAGACGCGTCAGCTACTTGTCAGTAAGACCTTAAAGGCACCTTGGCTTGAAATTCAAGTGTTTGGATGTACTGAGCTAAAAGTACAAAAAAGGAATCAAAAAGAGAAGTAGAAATCCTGCTCTATATAGATGAAGAGGCGCTAATGTTATCAGTTAAAAGTCAAATTTCAAAAAAGAATATTGAGGACTCGAGAATTTGCTGCTACTGACATTTGGCCTTTCCAAATTCAGTTCTCCAAACCAATGCAAGTCATTTTCGAAGAACGGACCAGCAAACATGTTCAAAATACAAAATCTTGGCGGTGCTCATGGGCATGAAAACTAGCAAATTGAGAAATCCCATGCTCAATGAGTACGTTTGTAGAGCGCAAAATTGGAACTTTAGAAATTCGCATGGGACGCGGTATTGCGTTATTTTATTTACTATGTCGCTGAAGGTGAGAACTGTCATGATAGGATGACAGTAGCAATACTCCAAGAAGATGTCTTATCGACGTGCTCTGCTTAACAAATCACCGCTCCTAATATGATTGGCGCAAATACTAAATATAACTGTAGCTATGATTGCAAAACTTGAGAATGACTCCATGTTTGGTGAGCAACAAAAAATTGTTGAACAAAACTCCTACGGCAGGTTCAAACAACGGCAGAGGTGCAAAAATGCGTAATTAAAGGATATTCTTCGAGGCAGCAATATCTTGAAAAAAAACGAATTATCGTCTTTTGGAGAGCTACTCACAGATGTGTCAATTCCGATGCGATCAGCATACTAGAGCACACTTCTCCAGATGCAGCCTTTATTAAATAATTTTCAGTTAAGAAGAGGCGATGCTTAAGAAGACAACTATGGAAAGTCAGGATAAACATCTCTTTTTACTTCTCTGAGCATTGCATGGCAGCGTTTTTGCGAAAATGCTGGTACTGCTGGCTGTTTAAGCGTTTCATCGATATGTTAAGATTTCCTTCAAGAATATGAACAAATATGGCTCAAACCAATGAAGAGGCAATCCTTAAAAGCTGTAGGCATTGTGAGGAATGAGATTTTTTGCTCTCCAAACTGAATTGAAGGCTTCTGAATAACACAATGTA